TCCTCCTCGTCCTCCTCCTCCTCCTCCTCCTCCTCCTCCTCCTTCGCCATGTGGAGGAATGGTTTTGCAGGGTGACCCTAGCCACGCGATGCCCTTCTGTTGCTCAACAGCGCACCACGCGCGACCCATCTCGTTTCTCCCTCATCTGTTTGGGATGAGCATCCTTCCAGACCTTAATGGGAAGGCATCTCACGATGTTCCCGTCTTACAGCTCAAGGCAGCCGGGAGCATGTGCCGAGAACCAGCCGGGTCCTGCGACCTCCCGGAATACTGCACGGGCGCTTCGCCCTACTGTCCTGCCAACGTCTACCTGCTGGACGGCTCCTTGTGTTCCTCCGGGGACGCCTTCTGCACCAACGGCATGTGCATGACCCACCACCAGCAGTGCATCCATCTCTGGGGTCCAGGTGAGTGTGTCCCCCCCCCCCGCTAGGTGGTCATGGTGGTGGAAAGTCCCATTAGGTCATAGCTGACTTATGGTGACCCCTGGTGGGGTTTCCAAGGCAGGAGACGTTCAGAGGTGGTCTGCCATTGCCTGCCTCTGTGCAGCAACCCTGGGCTTCCTTGGTGGTCTCACATCCAAGCCTGCAGTGCGATGTGGCTGCGAAGAAGGCTAATGTAATCTTAGGATGCATCCGAAGGGCTGTCATGTAGAAGATGGAGCAGATCTCTTCTCTCTCGCTCCGGATGGCAAGACTAGATCTCATGGGTGGAAATTACAAGGGAGTCGATGACCGGCTAAATATCAGGAGAAACTTCCTAACTGTAAGAGCGGTTTTTTTTTGAGAAGGGGAACAGTCTGCCTCGGGAGGTGGTGGATGCTCCTTCACTGGACATTTTCAGGCAGAGGCTGGTTGACCATCTTTCGGGTATGTTGTCGGGCTCTCTTTCGGCTGTGCTCCTGCAGAGTGCAGGGGGTTGGACTAGATGACCCGCAAGGTCCCTTCCAACTCTAACGTTCTATGATACTAACCAGGGCTGACCCTGCTTGGCTTCCGAGATGTGATGAGTTCAGGCTAGCCTGGGCCACCCAGGTCAAGGCAAGAGACAGAGGTGGTTTGCCATGGCCTGCCTCTGCGTAGCAACCCCGGGCTTCCTTCGCGGTCTCCCATCCAAGTACTAACCAGGGCCGACCCTGCTTAGCTTCTGAGATCCGGCGAGATCGAGCAAGCTTGGGCCATCCAGATCAGGACAGATGTTCAGAGATGGTTTTCCACTGCCTGCCTCTGCACAGCAACCCTGGGCTTCCTTGGTGGTCTCCCATCCAAGTACTAACCAGGGCCGACCCTCTTTAGCTTCCGGGATCTTCCAAGACCTCTGCCCGAGGTCCTGGAAAGCGGCTGCCTTCCAGAGTGGACAATCCCTGACCTTGAGGTTCTGAGGATCTGATTCGGTAGAAGTCAGCCCTGTACGCCCATCCGTTCACCTGGGATGTTGTAAGCACTTCTCCCATTCCGTTCTCATTCCATTCTCCCACCATTCTGCACACCAGTTTTGGTATAGCGGTTAAGAGCGGCAGACTCTAATCTGGAGAGCCGGGTTTGAATCCCCACTTCTCCACATGCAGCCAGCTGGGTGGCCTTGGGTCGGTCACAAGTTCTCTCAGAGCTGTTCTCTCAAGAGTGGTCCTCGAGAGATTCCCCACTCTTCCACATGCAGCCAGCTGGGTGGCCTTGGGTCAGTCACAAGTTCTCTCAGAGCTGTTCTCTCAAGAGCGGTCCTCGAGAGATTCCCCACTCCTCCACATGCAGCCAGCTGGGTGGCCTTGGGTCAGTCACCAGTTCTCTCAGAGCTGTTCTCTCAAGAGCGGTCCTCGAAAGATTCCCCACTCCTCCACATGCAGCCAGCTGGGTGACCTTGGGTCAGTCAGAAGTTCTCTCAGGCCCGCCTGCCTCACAGGGTGTCTGTTGTGGGGAGGGGGAGGGAAAGGAGTTTGTGAGCCGCCCTGAAATTCCTTTGGGTAGTGAAGGGTGGGGTATAAATCCAGTCTCCTCTCTTCTCTCTCAGCCCCACTTGCCTCCTTCGGGTAGCAAAGGGTGGGGGTATAAATCCAATCTCTTCTTCTTCAGTTAATGACTCGTACCTTCTGTTTCACTTCCGTAGAATATGCCCCATTTCCTCAACCGTTTTACCTGCCCTTTCCTGGATCTTGTCCAACCTCTGTTCCTTGAGAAAGTCCCAACAAGCGTAGCGGGTCGAATTTTGTCTCCAGGGTTCTATTCTGATAACCGGAAGATTGATTTTGTGGATCCTTTTTTTAGAACACGGCAGCACATGGAGTTGATATTTCAAGTCGGGTTTGCAGGTAGGGCATCCCAGCCCCCAGTGGCAGTAAGGGATTTCCCGCTCCCAGGTCCCCTTAAAAAAAAAAGCTGCCTTGTGTATTTATTAGAAGTGCTTACCAGATGTAACAAAGGGTAGCTCTAGGAGTTCATGGAAACTCTGTAGTTTTTACCATAGAGTTTCTGGCAATTCCTAGAGCTACCATTTGTCACTTCTGGTAAGTACTCCAGTCTGCATTATCAAAAAGCAATCTCCCATGACACTGCCGCCGCCCCCTCGACCCTCCCATGGTTGCCAGGCACCGCCTGCCAACCCCTATTTGCGCCTCCTTGTGGCATTCCAGCCATTTTTGAAACCATCGCCATGTTTCCAGAGCCAGTTTGATGTGGTTAGGAGCACAGACTCTAATCTGGGAGAACCGAGTTTGATTCCCCACTCCTCCACATGCAGCCAGCTGGCATGACTTTGGGTCAGTCACAAGCAATGCTGTAGAGTCTTGTGAACAGAAATTCTACTTTGTGAGCTACTGGCATTAAAATTGTGAGCGAGCGATTTGGCTACTGCATAAATTAGTTTGCCCTGGAGCCACCCTTCCTGAGCTAAGACAGGAATGTGTGAACCAGAGGCTAAAAAACTGTGAGCTAACTCACAGTAACTCAGCTTAGAGGGAACACTGGTCACAAGTTCTCTCAGAGTTGTTCTCTCAGGAGCAGTTCTTGAAAGAGCTCTCTCAGTCCCACTGACCTCACAGTGTGTCTGTTGTGGGGAGGGGAAGGGAAAGGTGATTGTAAGCCACTCTGAGGCACCTTTGGGTAGTGAAGGGTGGGGTATACATCCATTCTCCTCCTCCTTTTCACTTTTGGAAGCAATGGTGTGACCACCAGCAGCAGCAGAAGAGATTGGGTTTATACCCCGCCCTTCACTATTCAAAGGGGTCTCAGAGCGGCTTACAAACTCCTTTCCCTTCCCCTCCTCACCACAGACACCCTGTGAGGTAGAAGAAGAAGAAGAAGAGATTGGATTTATACCTGCCCTTCACTACCCGAAGGAGTCTCAGAGCGGCTTACAAACTCCTTTCCCTTCCCCTCCCCACAACAGACACCCTGTGAGGTCGGTGGGGCTGAGAGAGCTCTTGACAGAAACGGCTCTTTTTCAAGGACAGCTCTTATCAGAGCTACGGCTTGCCCAAGGTCATCCAGCCAGGTGCAAGTGGAGGAGTGGGGAATCAAACCCCGTTCTCCCAGATTAGAGTCCACGCACTTAACCACTACACCAAACTGGCAGGTGGGTTGCACTGTAAAGCACAAATGGCAGACGCGAGTCCTTAAACTCCTTGACCGAATTCACGGAGGTCAGGTCTAGTTAAAGCTACCCACAGGAGCTAAATGGAACCTCCATGGTCAGAGGCAGTGGAATGAGATGCCGCAGATGTACAGCAGGACACAGGAAGCCGCCGTCTGATGAGTCAGGTCGACGATCCGTCTAGTTCAGTTCCGTCTCCTCTCTCTGGCTGCAGCTCTAGAGCTCTCTGGCAGAGAAAAACCTTTTCCGACCCCAACGGCTCTGGCCAGCGGAGATACCAGCGGCTTTGTGGAAAGCACATTCTCTAGCACTGAGTCCCATGCACGCGCTGCATTTGATTGATCATCACACGAGCACAGGAAGCTGCCTTTATTCTGACTCAGGCCCTTCTTCTGTCAAGGCCGGGACTGTCGACTCTGACTGACGGTAGCTCTCCGGGGTGTCTGATAAAGCTCTTTCACATCCTTTCACGTGGTAGCTCTAGGACAGCCCGTTTGGTGCAGTGGTTAGGAGCGGCGACTCTTACCTGGGAGAACCGGGTTTGATTCCCCACTCCTCCTCCACGTGCAGCTGCTGGTGTGACCGTGGGTCAGTCACAAGTTCTCTCGGAGCTGTTCTCTCAAGAGCAGTCCTTGGAAGAGCCGTCTCAGCCCCCACCTACCTCCCAGGGGTTCTGTTGTGGGGAGGGGAAGGGAGTTCGTAAACCGCTCTGAGACTCCAAGTGAAGGGCGGGGTATAAATCCAATCTCCTCCTCCTCCTCCTCGGAGATCCTTCTGTTTTTTGAGGATCACAAAACCGCGGGGAAAATCGGGCGAAGCCGCGGGTCAAAACGCGGCCGCGTGGCTTCGAGTGGGAAATTGACCGATAGAAGTGGGGCAAAGGGAGGCGCGACCGCGGTGCAGCTCTTGTATGAAATCGGTCTCTGTATCAATGTGTTCCCTTGACTGCAAGACTGTTCGCTTCTGAAATTATTAGCTAGGGAATAAGAGGCACCCGCTGGACACTGCTGGTATTGCGCCCACAAAGTGTGCAGAGGTGGTAAATGTGCATCATTTATTTTAATTAAATCCATTTATTTATTTAGAGCTGCGGTGGCTCAAGTGGTTAAGACGCTGAACTGCAGGCTGTGGAAGGTCGGTAGTTCAGCAGTTTGAGACCCGGGTGCCACATGATGGAGTGAGCTCCCATCTCTAGTTCCAGCTCCTGCCAACCTAGCAGTTCGAAAGCAATAAATTGCAAGTAGATAAATAGGTACCACTTCGGTGGGAAGGTAACAGCGTTCTGTGCACCTTGGTGTTTAGTCATGCCGGCCACATGACCATGGAAATATCTTCGGACAGCGCTGGCTCTTCGGCTTTGAAACAGAGATGAGCACCGCAACCCTAGAGTCGGATTCGACTGGCTTTCGAGCAAGGAACCTTTACCTTTATACCCGGCCTTTCTCCACAGTGGAGACCCAGAGCGGCTTACATCATTTCTCCTCTCCTCCATTTTATCTCCAAGACAACCCTGCGAGGTAGGTCAGGCGGAGAGATAGCACCTGGGTTTTGGCCACTGTGTGGCACAGAGTGTTGGACTGGATGGGCCACCGTTGTACCTGCATTGCGCTTCCACGCCCAAGCTTCCACGGCAGAAGCAGGGATTTGAACACAGGTCTCCCAGATCTTAGTCTGACACTGTTAATTGCTATACCACACTAGCTCTTTTCTTGTTGTGGAGCTTGGGTCATCTTACGCTTGAAACAGGAGACTTTGTTTCTAAACTTTTTTTTACGTTAGGTAGTAGCTGGCCGTGTTCAAGTAGGACAGGAAAGGGTGTGTGTCAGATGTGGTTGAGAATGCCGGGGACATTTGGTTCTGGGTTCGAATCCATGCTCCATCCCTCATGCACTGCAGGGAAGGGTTTGAGACCTTTACATACATCCAGTTCCTGGGCTTGAATGCTTCATGGCCTCTGTAAGACGGGATTGGAAGTATTATTATTAAATCAGCCATTGAAGTCTGCGCAGTAATTAAAACAGCATGGAATACAGCAGTTATGTATATGAAACCAGAGATGTTAAACCTGCAAACTGAGAGAGATCGAGAAAGTAGGAAAGTCTATGCTTGTTTCAGTCTAGCCACAGGCTAGGCGTTTCTCTGAAAACTTCCATCCTCTAACTCGCATTATGCACATATGTAGATTCCATGTGTATGTGTGTGCACAATGCAGGTACAAAGGTGGCCCATCTAGTCCAACACTCTATGTCACACAGTGGCCAAAACCCAGGTGCCATCAGGAGGTCCACCAGCAGGGCCAGAACTCCAGAAGCCCTCCCACTGTGTCCCCCCCAAGCACCAAGAAGACAGCGCATCACTGCCCCAGTCATAAAAACATAAGAGAAGCCATCTTGGATCAGGCCAATGGCCCATCCAGTCCAACGCTTTGTGTCACCCAGTGGCCAAAACCCAGGGGCCACCAGGAGGTCCACCAGAACTCCAGAAGCCCTCCCACTGTTGCCCCCCCCAAGCACCAAGGATACAGCATCACTGCCCCAGACAGAGTGTTCCATTTCTACCTTGTGGCTAATAGCTGCTGATGGACCTCTGCTCCAATCCCCTCATAAGAACAGAAGAACATGAAAGAAACCATGTTGGATCAGGCCAGTGGCCTTTCCAGTCCAACACTCTGTGTCCCACAGTGGCTAAAACCCAGGGGCCCTCAGGAGGTCCACCAGCGGAGCCAGAACTCCAGAAGCCCTCCCACTGTTGCCCCCCTCCAAGCACCAAGAAGACAGAGCATCCCTTGGCCCCAGACAGAGTGTTCCATCTGTACCTTGTGGCTAAGAGCCACTGATGGACCTCTGCTCCAGATGTTGATCCAATCCCCCCTTGAAGCTTCCCTGAGATATTTGTCCGGCCATGGTGAGAAAATGCTGGTACGGACGGTCTTCTGCATGCGAATGGGATGATGTCGAACTGGATCTTCATTGCCTAGGAAGGGCTGCAGAACTTCCAAATAATCTCAAATGTCCACATTCCTTGATGAATCACAGCCCTGCCAAATGAATGTCAGTAACCAGAAGATCTTGGCTCTCGTTCCATTTTCCTAAGGACCATTCGGGATGCCAGCAAGTCGGTTTAATGGTGTAACATCCGCTTGAGTTTGGTGTAGTGCTTAGGAGCGTGGACTCTAATCTGGGAGAACCGGGTTGGATTCCCCACTCCTCCACTTGCACCTGCTGGGTGACCTTGGGTCAGTCACAAGTTCTCTCAGAGCTGTTCTCTCCCGAGCAGTCCTCGAAAGAGCTCTCTCAGCCCCGTTTATCTCACAGGGTGTCAGTTGTGGGGAGGGGAAGGGAAAGGAGATTGTAAGCCGCTTCGAGTGATGGGCAGGGTGTAAATCCAACTCTTCTCTCTCTCCTTCTTCTCATTCCATGGCCAATTTTGTTTTTAGCAGACCCTGAGTTTGGTGACTAACTCTCCTCTTCCCCTGTCTTCCACCCCCCTGCTTGCCTCTTCTTTGCCTCGTAGGTGCCTGGCCAGCACCCGATGCATGCTTCCAGGATGTGAACACAGCAGGGGACATGTACGGGAACTGTGGCAAGGACAGCCACGGCAATTATGTGAAGTGCGCCAGGAGGTGGGTTACGTGGCCAAATGCTTTACATGCAGAAGGTCCCCAGTTCAATCCCTGGCATCTCCGGTTCAAGGGACCAGGCAGCAGGTGATGGGGGAGACCGCTCTGCCTGAGACCCTGGGTTCCGTTTGGTTCTTCAACACGCTATCTGTCTCCCTCATTGGAGCGTAAGATTCTTCATGTACAGCTTCCTCCATTGAAAGAGGCTACATCTTGAATTAAGAGCATCAGAAGAGCCCTGCTGGATCAGACTAGTGAGGGTCCATCTAGTCCAGCCTCCTGTCTCACACAGGGGCTAACCAGTTCCTCTGGAGGGCCAGCAACAGGGCAGAGAGGCCGAGGCCTTCCCCTGAGAAGAACCTCAGAAGAGCCCTGCTGGATCAGACCAGTGAGGGTCCATCCAGTCCAGCGTCCTGTCTCACACAGGGGCCAGCCAGTTCCTCTGGAGGACCAAGAACAGGGCAGAGAGGCAGAGGCCTTCCCCTGATAAGAACCTCAGAAGAGCCCTGCTGGATCAGACCAGTGAGGGTCCATCCAGTCCAGCCTCCTGTCTCACACAGTGGCCAGCCAGTTCCTCTGGAGGACCAGCAACAGGGCAGAGAGGCCAAGGCCTTCCCCTGATAAGAACCTCAGAAGAGCCCTGCTGGATCAGACCAGAGAGGGTCCATCCAGTCCAGCATCCTGTCTCACGCTGTGGCTAACCAGTTCCTCTGGAGGGCCAACAACAGGGCATGTAGGCTGAGGCCTTCCCCTGAAGTTGACTCCCAGCACTGGTATCCAGAGATTTACTTCCTCTGAACATGGAGTTCCCTTTAGTCACCATGGCTAGCAGCCACTGATAGACCTATTCTCCATGAACCTGTCTGATCTCCTTTTTAAGCTGTCTATGCGAATTCCACATTTTCAATCACTTGCTGCGCAAAAATGTATTTCCTTTTGTCCATCCTGAACCTACTGCCCATCAGCTTTGTTGGATGTTCTCGAGTTCTAGTACTTTGGGGAGAGGGAGATAAAGTTCTCTTTGTCCACTCCCCCCCCAACACACATAATTTTATCAACCTCTATCATGTCTCACCTTACTCATCTCTTTTCTAAACTGAATTCAGGCTGTGTATGTTCTGCGCACTTCCCTGCAGCGCCTTCCTTCTGGCCCAGCTTGCATGGATTGACTATAGTGGGAAACAAAGGCCCGCCTCATCTCTTGCATGTGGGGTTGGACTAGATGACCACCCGGTGTCCCCCTTCCACCTTGGGTGTTCTTCTTCCTTCCAGAGATGCCAAGTGCGGCAAGATCCAGTGCCAGAGCCCCGCGAAGAAGCCCAAGGGGACCAACACCGTCTCCATGGACACCACCATCCGGTTCAACGGGCGGGAGGTGAAGTGCCGGGGCACGTTGGTCTACGCGACGAAGGACGACGAGGGCGACATGTCGGACCCGGGGCTGGTGATGACGGGGACCAAGTGTGGAGATGGCATGGTGAGCGCCCTTCTGGAACGGCTGGAGTGCTTAAGCTGGCCCTAATTCAGTGCAGACAGCCTGCAGTTATAGTGCAATGTTAAAACGGTCGCGGGGGATCTGACTTGTCCCAGTTGTCAGTCTTAGGATGCGTTAACAGAAGCGGGGACCCGCGATACTTGCGGGGGGCGGGAGAGAAGGAGCTCCATGTAGAGGTGGTAGTTCTGCTCTATTCTGCTATGGTCAGACCTCACCTGGAGTCCTGTGTCCACTTTTGGGCACCACATTTTAGGAAGGATGTTGACAAGCTTGAGCGTGTCCAGAAGAGGGCAACCAGGATGGTGAGAGGGTTGGAATCCAAGTCTTACAAGGAAAGGCTGAAAGAGTTGGGTCTGTTTAGCCTGGGAAAGAGAAGGCTTAGAGGGGACATGATTGCAGTCTTCAAATATCTGAAGGGCTGTCATGTAGAAGGTGGAGCGGATCTATTCTCTCTTGCTCTGGATGGCAAGACGAGATCTAATGGGTGGAAATTACAAGGGAGTCGTTACCGGCTAAATATCAGGAGAAACTTCCTAATTGTAAGAGTGATTGAGCAGTGGAGCAGACTGCCTCGGGAGGTGGTGGATGCTAATTCGCTGGACGTTTTCAAGTGGAGGCTGGACAACCATCTTTCGGTTATGTTGTAGGACTATCTGTCGGCTGTTCTCCTGCAGAGTGCAGGGGGTTGGACTAGATGACCTACGAGGTCCCTTCCAACCAGTTTGGTGTAGTGGTTAAGTGTGCAGAGTCTTATCTGGGAGAACCGGGTTTGATTCCCCACTCCTCCACTTGCACCTGGCTGGATGACCTTGGGCAAGCCATAGTTCTGTCAGAGCTGTTCTTGAAAAAGAGCAGTTTCTGTCAGAGCTCTCTCAGTCCCACCTACCTCCCAGGGTGTCTGTTGTGGGGAGGGGAAGGGAAAGGAGTTTGTAAACCGCTCTGAGACACCTTTGGGTAGTGAAGGGCGGGGTATAAATCCAATCTCCTCCTCCTCCTCCTCCTAACATTCTGTGATTCTACGATTCAGTTGTTGTAGAGCTTGCAGTAAAGTAGGGTTAGTTCCAGGTTTTGGTGGGGCCCAGGCAGAAAGTTCCCAGGTCTCCCCTCCCCCCTCTGTTTGGTGTAGTGGTCAGGAGCACGGACTCTAATCTGGGAGAACCGGGTTTGATTCCCCACTTCTCCACTTGCAGCTGCTGGTGTGACCTTGGGCCAGTCCCAAGTTCTCTCAGAGCTGTTCTCTCAAGGGCAGTTCTCTCAGAGCTCTCTCAGCCCCACCCATCTCACAGGGTGTCTGTTGTGGGGAGGGGATGGGAAAAGGATTGTAAGCTGTTTTGAGACTCCAAGTGAAGTGTAGGGTATAAATGAAATCTCCTTCTTCTTCAGTCTGATTAGGTGGAAATTCTCATGCATTGGTTAGGGAAAAGACAATTAGCTCGTTTATTACAGATTGGAAACCCCTTATAGACTTTCTGCAGGAAAAAGACAATAATGACCTGATGATTTGTGGTTTTGATGGTTAAGATCTCAAGATACAAAAAAAGAGTTCTTTATTCTATATATAAAGCAAGAGAAAACCTTGTAATCAAACTTATATTCAGGGCTATTTTTGGGCAGGAACGCACAGGAACGGAGTTCCGTCTGGCTCCCAAGTTGGCCACGCCCAGCAGGAACTCATTAGCATAATAGGCCACACCCAACAGCAGACACTCATTAGGATTGGCTACCTTGGGTGTGTGGCCTAACATGCAAAGGAGTTCCTGCTACAAAAAAAGCCCCTGGGTTTGGACAACAAACAAGGTAAACAGAATAAGAAGCAAAAGGTGGGTGTGGCTGGATAACCACACTTCTGGTAACATGGGGGTGCGGCCTAATGTGCTAATGAGCTGTGCTGTCAGGGGTGTGGCCTAATATGCTAATGAGTTTCTGCTGTTGGGTGTGGCCTATTATGCTAATGAGTTCCTGCTGGGCTTTTTCTACAAAAAGAGCCCTGCTTATATTTGTTGTAAAGAAAATTTATGTTTTTTTCTTTTCTCTCTCTCTCTTCTTCCTTTTACTTTCTCAATAAAAGCTAAAACTGGAATTCTCATTACAGGTGTGCAAAGACCAGCGCTGTGTGAATGCTTCCTTCTTTGAAGTGGAGAAGTGCCTCTCCCAGTGCTATGGACATGGGGTGAGTAACCAGCCTAGCTTGCTGGGTGTAGTGGTTCAGAGCGGCGAATTCTGATCTGGGAGAACCGGGTTTGAGTCCCCACTCCTCCACTTGCAGCCAGCTGGGTGCCCTTGTCAGTCACAAGTTCTCTCAGCGCTCTCTCAGCCCTACCTACCTCACAGGCTGTCTGTTGTGGGGAGGGAGAGGGAAGGAGATTGTAAGGTGCTCTGAAACTCTGAGTGAAGGACGGGGTATAGATCCAACTCTTCTTCTTCTTCTTCTTCTTCTTCTTCTTCTTCTTCTTCTTCTTCTTCTTCTTCTTCTTCTTCCTCTTCCTCTTCCTCTTCCTCTTCCTCCTCCTCCTCCTCCTCCTCCTCCTCCTCCTCCATCATCCAGTGTTTTCACCCAATTCCTCTCTGTCACTACAGCTCCTGTCCTCCGTGGCCTTCTTCCATGCGCGTTCTGTGATCCCCAGCATAGCTTTTTTTGGTGGTCAAAGGGGGCGGGGCTCCTAATTTCTTTTTCCCTAGCAAGAATGCTGGTTGGATGCAACCCACACCTTGTTGCAGAAGCCAGGGTAGGAGAGGTGACTGCAGAGTAAATTAATATTCCTTTCGCTTTGGTGTAGGGGTTAAGAGCGGCAGACTCTAATCTGGGAGAACCCACTCCTCCTCCACATGCAGCTGCAGGGTGACCTTGGGTCAGTCACAAGTTCTCTCAGAGCTCTCAAGAGCAGTCTTCTCAGAGCTCTCTCAGCCCCACCTGCTGTTGTGGGGAGGGGAGGGGAAAGGAGATTGTACGGCGGGGTATAAATCCAACTCTTCCTCTTCTTCCTCTTCTTCTTCTTTTTCCTCCTCCTCTTCCTCTCCTCCTCCTCTTCTTCCTTCTTCTTCTTGATCCCTACTGACTCAGAAGGATGGAAGGCACTGAAAAAAACCCTCCAACAAGTTAGAGAAACTCCTACTGTTTCTCTAATAATACGGCATCTCTGACATTCTTGCAGTCAGAGACTAAGGGCGCTTGGGGGGCCGTGGCTCAGTGGAAGAACCTCTGCTTGGCATGCAAGAGGTCCCAGGTTCGATCCCTGATGACTCCAGTCAAAAGGACCAGGCAGTAGGTGATGTGGAAGACCTCAGGCAGAGACCCTGGAAGAGAGGCTGCCTGCCTGAGTAGACAATACTGACTTAGATAGACCAACGGCTTGACTCAGGACAATGCGGCGTCATGTGGCCGCCATTCTAACGGCCCCATTGGTATCCCCCTCTTTCCCCAAAGAGATCAGGGGGCTTTGTGTTCGGTTCTCTCCCCCCCTCCCTTACGTAACAGCTCTGTGAAGTAGGTTAGGTCAAGAGAGGAGGGCCACTCAAGATCCTCCAGTGAGCATTGTGGGTAAGTGGGGATTCGAACCTGGGTCTCGTCAGCTGCTAGTCTAGCACTCTAACCACCACGCCACACAAGCTGTAACCCGTATGGTTGATGCATAATCAGTGTTCCCTCTAAGATGAGTTAGTGTGAGCTAGCGCACAGTTTTTTTAGCCTCCAGCTCACACATTTTTGTCTTGTCTCGGAAAGGAGGGCTCCAGAGCAAGCTAATTTATGCAGCAGCCAAGACGCTCGGTCAGAACTTTAATTCCAGCAACTCACAAAGTCGAATTTTTGCTCACAAGACTCCACCGCTTAGAGGGAGTGGGGCTTGCATTGGGTCAGGGTTGCTGCCCATCGATCTCCTCCCCCTTGGAGCAGCAGTGCCCGAACCTGCTGCAGTGCGGCCCCCGTGTCTGTGTTGTGTGACCCTCCACCCAGCCGAGTATCGTCCATGCAGCCTTTGGGTTCTTTGAGCGGACGACCCAGTTCCCTTTGCCTTATTAGCTTTTGCAGCAGTAAATCCCAGGCTGTTCATAAAATTAAAGCACAGTCTATAAAAACCTGCTCGAAGGACCTTTCCCAAGCAGTCAAAGGCCGCCAGTGAATTGACAATGGGACATTTGCGACCCGATAAAAGGAGCCCGGCGGATCAGAAAGAGACACGGAGGGCTTCGAAGGTTCACTTTTGTAAACAGAGAGTCGCTCTGTAGTCAAACTGATCTTCAGCATCTCAGGAAAGGTGAAGGGAGGGGAAAGACTAGCTGGTTGTTTTTTTTCCAGTAGTGGCAGGGAGAGTGTGCTTTTATGTCTGGAACATGTCACTGGTGAATATTTGGTGAGGGAGCCAGTTTGGTGTAGTGGTTAGGAGCGCGGACTCTAATCTGGGAGAACCGGGTTTGAGTCCCCACTCCTCCGCATGCAGCTGCTGGTGTGTCCTTTGATCAGTCACAAGTTCTCTCAGAGCTGTTCTCTCAAAAACAGTCCACAAAAGAGCTCTCTCAGCCCCACCGACCTCACAGGGTGTCTGTTGTGGGGAGGGGAAGGGAAAGGAGTTTGTCAGCCGCTCTGAGATTCCTTTGGGTAGTGAAGGGCGGGGTATAAATCCAATCTCTTCTTCTTCTTTTACCTCACAGGGTGTCTGTTGTGGGGAGGGGAAGGGAAAGTAGTTTGTAGGCCGCTCTGAGACTCCTTTGGGTAGTGAAGGGAGGGGTATAAATCCAATCCTCTTCTCTTAATGGGGCCAGGAGTTTGAGGACAGCCATTTTGGGGAAGGGATCCGCTTGCGGTGGGGAAGGTTCTTACTACGGATGTGTGCTCAGGTATATGCATTCCCAGGCTATACCCGAAAAATACCTTAGTGGCATTTTTCAGGTGTGTTGAGATATAGTATTCCTCCATTTTCAAGCAGAGGCTGGACGACCATCTTTCAGGTATGTTGTGCAGTGTTCCCTCTAAGCTGAGTTAGTGTGAGCTAGCTCACAGTTTTTTAGCCTCCGGCTCACAGCTTTTTGTCTTCGCTCAGGAAGGAGGGCTCCAGAGCAAACTAATTGATGCAGTAGCCAAATCATGAGCTCACAACTTTAATGCCAGTAGCTCACAAAGTAGAATTTTTGCTCACAAGACTCCATAGCTTAGAGGGAACATTGGTTGTAGGTATGTAGGGCTCTCTTTCGGCCCTGCTCCTGCAGAGTGCAGGGGGTTAGACTAGATGACCTGCAAGGTCCCTTCCAACTCTAACATTCTATGATCCTATGATTCCTTGCTATGTATGGGTGTGAAAGTTGGGCGATGAAGAAAGCTGACAGGGAGAAAGTGGATTCATTTGAAATGTGGTTTGTTGGAGGAGAGTTCTACGGATACACGCCCAGGGAAATGCTGATCCAGGCCCGCAGACAGGATTTTGTAGTTCGGGGGCCCTTTAGATAAGTCAGGGGGCACGGATGTCACAAATCAAAAAATTAAATTAAAATAAAAATTTTAAAAAACCCTCACTTTTGCAGCGTCTGCACGCTGCCTGCCTAAGTGGGGAGGCAAATCGCGCTTGCGGAAGGTGCGGTGGTAGAAAGTCCTCCAGACGGCCCGGAGAGCCGTGGGTCGTGGGGGCTGGATGGAAGTCAGGGGGCCTCGGCAGGAAGTCGGGGGGCCAGGCCCCGAAATGCCCCCACTGTAGCTACGGGCCTGTGCTGATCGCCACTCTTGGTTCAGGACGCAATCGCTCTCCAGGTATATAGGTCAGGGATGCTCTAGGCTGATCCTGCATTGTGCTGGGGGTGGGCAGGGCTCTTTTTGTAGAAAAAGCCCAGCAGGAACTCATTACATAATAGGCCACACCCAGTAGCAGAAACTCATTAGCATATTAGGCCACACCCCTGACAGCACCACTCATTAGCGTATTAGGCCGCACCCACATGTTACCAGAAGTGTGGTCATCCAGCCACACCCACCTTTCCCTTATTCTGCTTACCTTGTTTGTTGTCAAAACCCAGGGCCTTTTGGTAGCAGGGACTCCTTTGCATGTTAGGCCACACACCCCTAATGTAGCCAATCCAAATGAGTTTAAAGGAACGGACATTTTTCCTCAGAGACGAACGGTGATGTCATAAGAACATAAGAGACGCCAATGTTGGATCAGGCCAAAGGCCCATCCAGTCCAACACTCTGTGTCACACAGTGGCCAGAAATACTAGTGCCATCAGGAGGTCCAGCAGTGGGGCCAGGACATTAGAAGCCCTCCCACTGTTGACCCCCCAAGTTCTGCAGTTCGAGACCCGAGTGCCGTGTGACGGAGTGAGCCTCCCGTCTCTGGTTCCAGCGCCTGACAGCCTAGCAGTTTGAAAGCGAGAAATTGCAAGTAGATAAATAGGTTCCACTTCGGTGGGAAGGTGACAGCGTTCCGTGCGCCTCGGTGTTTAGTCATGCCGGCCACATGACCATGGAAACGTCCTTGGACAGCGCTGGCTCTTTCGCTTGGAAACGGGGAGACAAGCACCGCAACCCTAGAGTCGGACTCGACTGGCTTTTGAGCAAGGGAAACCTAATATTTGTTCACGTCACGTGGCACTCAGGCATCTGACATTTATTCTGTGTGGCTCTTACGTTACGCCAGTTTGGCCAACCCTGCTCTAGGCTGATCCTGCATTGAGCAGGGGGTGGGACTAGATGGTCTCTAGTGTCTCTTTGATTCTGTATCACTTCTGTAGTGCATTCAAAGCTGCCTTGAATGCATGATATGTATTAGTGAAACATCTAATTGAAGTGTAATGTAAAGCTT